GAACTTTAAACCAAGCAGGTGTAGTCGAATATGCAATCTAGTTAAGAATAAGTACATATTCAACAAAAACACGCACAAAAATGCGATCAAGCATTGTTTCTTAAGAATAAGATTTTTTACAAAGCTTCTAGTGGTAGGAGGTGGCTAAAGATAAAAGGCGGAAAACGCTCTTGAAAATCTTTGTCTCTCAATGATCAAAAATTTTTTAATCCCCGAACAGCAGAGGTCTTATATGACAATAGTTTTCGCTAATTCCTTGATACGTTATAAGATGAAATGGTCTAATGAAGAAACATTATATTTGTTCCTTGGTTATTGCACAGAAATTCTTTGGAAAAACCAAATTTGCAGAGCTATTTTCAAAGAGGTAACCTTCATTCAATTTACTTCATCTGACAATCTGGTTACGTTTACTGCTTCATCTCACCTTTTTAACACCCTTTTGCGATAGTACGCTAATCTCAGTACAAACCAAACACAAGAATTCCTACCTGCACCAAAGCCTGTCACAAGTCTTGCAGCCATCATTATCCACTTGTGATTGTGGTCAAAAAGAGGTAAAAGTCCATAAACACTTTGCCCTGAAAAATATGAGCAATGAAAACTAGAAAAGTTAGGAAACATACAACTGACCAATGGCTGTCATAAGCATTCCAACGGTGATTGGGGACTTAATGGACATGGTTTTTTGGTTCCAAAAGCCGAAAAGAGGATTGGCCTAAAAGATTGATGGTAGGGAAATTGCTCAGAATTTATATATGTTTATTATGTACTTACGACTGAACATCCCAAGCTACAAGCAGCAACAATCCAACCGAAGAAGTCAACAGTGGCTGCGCTATCAAGCTGAACAGAAGTGAAAAAGCTGTTGCTGAGACAATGTTTTTTAGAGGTATGTGAATTATTACGCTGCTTAGGTAGGGCCACATCGACATAAAGTAGATTGAAATCTGAATTCCAACCATTGCTTGCAGAGCTATGGAGATCCATAAAGACCTCCAAGGGGACTTCCTTTCATTGATATCCAACGATGGACTAAAATCAAAACTGCATACTCAAAATCTTCGTAAAACTAAGGACAGCTAAGGTTCCAGATTTTCTAAGTATGGACACCTTGAGTCACATTTGGGCCTTGCGTCGACCGTCGATTCCTTTTTTTCTCCGAACGGCGATACTGCCATCAATTGTTACCTAGAAAGCTAGTGAAGAAATGAAAAGATCATCAGAAAAAAAGCAGAAAGCGGCAACATAAATGATATGCTCTTTGTCTCGTCCAAAGTTTCACCCGATTATACTTGCAAAACATTTAATCTGAGGAATAAATCAGCATAATTTGAGCGCACTACATTACTGTATTTTCCGAACTTTTCGCTAGTTAATCTATGTAATTCAAAGGAAATCAGAGATCTGTATGTTTATTACTTCCTCTGATTTTGTGAGCGTAACAGAGTATTTCATGAAAAGGGACCACCTACTTTCATTGTGGAATATTAGTACGAATGCATCATGTGGAGCATGTAACCAACTGGTGAAACTAAACATTTGTTGGAGCTTTATTGTGGGTATTCTTCGAGTTCTGCTCAATTTGATGTATATCCGATTGCTTACTGATCTCTCATCATTCCTCATTGTAAAGATATCGAAAAAACTGCAAACACAGCTTGACCTTGAGAATAGGAATTTTCAAACTATAACAGGAGAGGCAGGGGTAGCGGGAACTTGCGATTCTCTTTACGCAAATTTGAGTCTATTGAAGCCTGATTTTAACAAATTTACTACCAACGAATTAGGTTCCCTTTTGCGGATATTTTACATAGCAGAATGTGGCTACCGACTGTATTGCTACTATTTTGAAATCTTGCTTTGACGCTTTCGCATTCTCCACTAGCTGATGTTCCCTTCGCGGCCACAACTCATTTTGGACTGAAATCCTTTTACCTTGCTAGAGTTCATTTTCAAAAAATGACTGTTTCCTTCAAAAGCAAATATGTCTTAGATTGATGATACATCGATTTCACGTAATCAATCTGGCCAGGGTCAGTAAATTGAAACGAATAGACGTTAGGCACGAAGTGCGAAAACAAAGGGCTACGGTATTGTGTGGTTCCATAACTTAATTATTTTACAGCATTTATCAACTCCGTAGCTGCAAGAACGGGACAAAAAGCTCGAGTTGAAAA